GGGGAGCGATCCTCAACTCCAACGGCGTGACGGGACAGTGGGGGAGGGCGCCGCTGAATGAGTCTCTGTACTTCATCTGCCAGACAGAGTACTGATTAGGGCTGCGGCTGATGAGTTGGCGCTTTGAATGTCAGGACTCAGGACACTACTTCAAATTTTTGCTGAGTTTTTAATAATGACGTGCAGATGAAAAAGATGCGGTATTATACTTTGGCTCGCATTTTTGAAGTGGTTGTTATTGTAGTAGTAGTTGTTGTTGTTGTTAACGTTGTAACAAGCAAACAACAAGTAGTAGCTGTTTTACTTGATAAATAAAGAGCTGATGACACCGATCTCGTTTTTTTCCTGCGTACAAAAAGCGAACTGGATATCGCGCTAGGATGTAACATGAGTGTGATATGAGTCTCTCTCCCTCCTCCCTCTCTCTCTCTCTCTCTCTCTCTCTCTCTCTCTCTCTCTCTCTCTCTCTCTCTCTCTCTCTCTTTCCTCCTCCTCCCTCCCTCCCCCGCCACCCATACTCTAACATAATGACCTCTACCGTGCGTCGCATGTCTCCCTTACTCTATCCTTCCGTCCCTGCGTCCAGCCCTCCCCCTCCTAACATTGATCGGCCGCAGATCCCCGCCCCCCCCCCGCTCCTCTCCTGGGAGAAGTGCCTGTCTCTCCTCTGCCTGTCCGCCAGACGAAGAAAGAGGGACACATCTCCCCGTCCCGCCCACTTGCGATAGTGTCGTCCAAAGGTCGACTTCGGAGCAAACGCAAGGGACGGACACACATATATAAATGTATGCTATCCATACATACGTGTGTACATGCTGCATACGTGCATACGCGCACTATATAGCATGTTAACTGTCTGTATTATAAAACGTTTGAGTTAACATTTCAATCAATATTTTATTTTGGAGTGAAGTCAACATTCTTCAGCCTGTCTTTGTGGGTGTAGCTAACAGACTACCACAGAACTACAGCGAAGACGTGACACGGGTAGCGCTGAGTTCAGGTCGGTTACCAAGCTACTCGTGGACCGCCGATATCAGAAGGGACAGCTATGCAGCGCCCGCCCGCCTCCCTATGCATGTATTCAGCTACAGGCCGCGGTGAAATTAATACAGTGACCTTCTGTGTTCTGTCAGCTGACTTGGTAACGCACTGCATAGGCTTCTCTCGAGAAATTGTGAGGAGAGCTCATGTTACAAAGTGCTGGTGGAGCATGTATTATTGCGGTATAATGAGGATGCTCGAATGACAAAATTGAAAATATACTGGGTTCCTTGTGTATGACGGAATGGTTGTGAAGGTACGGTGAAAATTGACCACTGTTATCTCTCATGTTTATCGTTCTAACCATATTCGCCTTCCGACAATGTCTACTAGGTTTTTCACTTCTTCAGACTCCAACTCTCGGCTACTTTTTCATTCTGCATCTGTTGTGTTCATAGTTACTCTCGACTTCATTGTGACACTTAGTGATTATGATTTCTGCAAAAATTATCGTATGAAGTTCAATACCGACGCTAGGTATATTACTGTCGGACTAAGGTATTGCATTATTTTCACTAAATATTGATATTTATGTGGACGGTTTACATAGTTATATGTATAAGCACAACTGCCTCCCAATAATCGTGAGTGGTAGAAATTCGCGCATTAGTTATATAAGAAACATCAAATATATTATTTTTCTCTAGCGAAAATAACAAGGCATTGATTGGAAAGATTAGATGCCGTACGTTATATAATGGTTATCTTATTTTTCCCTTTTTCTTAGACCCTCAGGGCCAGACTTGTTCGGTCCATTTTTATGATTACAGCTGCTTGCTCGCCCCCATATCCTCCCAACAGTTTGTGCTTAGTTCCATGAGAGTAAAGGGCACGTATTGCTTGTAGCGCATGGTCTGAGTCTCCAGTTAACCCGGCCGGGCCCGGGGGGTAATCCCAACCACCGCAGCCCGGGGGGGGGCGTTTTTCGCCCCCCTGTCTAACTCCGTAAATAAGGGAGCTACGGAAACAAAAGCGATACCAATCGAAAGGTCCTTACGAGACGATTCAAAAGCATCTAAAATTTTTGACCTCATTCAATTTTCAAGGTCAGAGGTCAAGGTCAAAGGCAAAAACCGGCACATGTGTAGTGATCTCAAAATAAGCCTTCTAGAGGACCGCAAGCTGCATCAAACCGGCAAAATTGGGTATCAAAAGAAAGAAGAGAATCTGAGGATTCCGAAAATGTGCTCAAAATCAAAGGCAAAGGTCAAGGTCACGCTCAAAATTGACCTCAAACTTGGCACTTTTTCGCACATCTTGCGTGCTAACTTCCAAGATGTTTTGAAATGTTTTGAGGCTTATCAGTTCCCTATTTGTGGTTCATCTTACGATACAAGGCTGCTCAAAGGTCAAGGTCACAGAAGAGTATCCCTGCTAGAGGCTATTTCACTAATTCAAGTTAGTAGTAATAAATAAGACAATTTTGCCATCCAGAAGCTCTAAATGAAGGCTTAGAGGAAAATAGATGCCAGATTCGTGATCAGCGGGTACAAATCCATCATAAACGACCACCTTTCATGTGTCAAGGTCAACCAGAGGTCATTCGAGGTCACATGAGGTCAACATAAAATGTGACCTTTTCCGAACAAAATATATATCATTCGACGCGGCTTGACAAGGCGAATGCGATGGTACCACTGTCGTAGCTCTAGGACCATTTTTGTCGAAGTTATTTGCGAAAAACTAAAACCACATTTCGGGGTCGTTGACCTGACCTTTGACCTCAGGTCACCAAAACTATTTTTCTATTTTTCTCTAGGTCAAACGCTACACAACCGTGCTCGTAATGTGTCTTTATCTCTAAAACTCCATTTTTAGCAGCTATTTGAAATTTGCGTCTGTGACACCGAAGTTTGCCGTGGAGGGGTCTAGAAAAATGGACCTTGTGACGTCATCAAGGGGGCTAGGTCCAAATTTTTTACTTCAGAAGATGTAAAATTGATGGGTGAAAAGGTACTGAAAGTTTCGCTTTCCTATCCCAAAGCGTTCGGGAGCTATCGCAAATATTCGCCAGGGGGGGGGGGCGAAAAACGCCCCCCCCCCCCGGGCCCGCGAGGGTTAACACGCGCAGTGGAAGGGTTGCGAGTACTACGCCCAGTGGAAGGGGGGCGGATGTCACCCCCCCCCCTAAGATCTCAGCTCCCACTGGAGCTAGAAAGACAAAATTTGGAGGGTGGGTGGGGGCCATGGGGAACTCTCTTGTGTGTGAATTTCATGACCCTAGGTCAATATCTTCAAGGTCAAATGAGGTCAAATGTGGTCAAATCGGCCATATTAGCGACTTTTTTGCGTTTACACGCCGATAACTCAAAAAGTTACCGGCCGATTTTTAAAAATCTTTCACTATACGAAAGAACAAACATTAGTGAGTATGTATGGTGAATTTCTAGATAATCCAACAATAAATATGGCAGTTAGAAGCCTGCTAAGGGTAAGATGTCGCCGGCTGAAGCGGCATCGGCCGACGCGGGAAACGCGGCAATCACAATTTTGTGTTTACACACTCATAACTCAAGTTGTTACCGGCCGATTTTCAAAATTCTTTGACCATATGATTGCCTGTACATTTCTCAGTCTTCTCACCGAATTTGACGCGAATCTAATGTAATCAGCGGTAAGGAGCGCGATGTAAAGACGGAACCGTCCCGCCCCGGCACAGTCTACAATTCAGGCGGCGCGTAACGGCTAGCGCCGGCCGCCACGCCGCCGCGCCGCCGCGGCGGCAGAATGTTTGACTTTACACCGCTATTACTAGAAAAGTTGTGAACCGATTTTCTTACTTCTTGCACGAGAAGATCCGCAATTCAATTCTGGACAGGTAGCCAAAATTTCACATTGATATTATGCTTGCGGCGCGAGTTATTGGCGAAAAACAGGAGGGGTGGGCGAAATCCGCCCCCCCCCCCCTTCCAGTAGTGAATCCCGGATTTACTGAATGACCTACATGTACGCGTAAATTAAATCTGCTGGAAATAGGGCTCATTTGCATACAGCTGTTCCCACAAGTTGCCGTTCAGGTAATTTGATGTCCTCGTTTTGAGCCCAGACATTCAGGCAACGTTTGTGCGGGCATAAATGTGCATGCAATTTTGTTAAAAGGTAGCTTTTATCTCATCCACGCTACTTAACCTAATGCGCCAAAACTGCTTTAGCTGTGCATATGCTGCTGAATTTCGTGTCACATTAATTTACAAACACATGATATTTGCTGCGGGTTGAGGATTATCAAATGACAGATGTGACGTATAAGTGCATGTATGACCTAAACTTTTGAATTCATTTTAATTTCAATCGGACTCTCAACACACATGACTAAGCAATAAATGCGAAACATTGGGTAATTTCTTGCGTTTTTATCCCTTTTAAAATGAATTCAAAAGTTTAGGTCATACATGCACTTATATGTCACATTGCTGCGTGTTGTATTTAAACATACACTACCATTTAACGGTTAAGTTCTTCACCCAACCGCATTTCTCTCAATCATGCACTGCCAAAGTCATGAGCCAACCACTCTGACATCCATTTGCTATTTATACTCTGTCGCATGCAACCTGTCATCTATCATCGGCTGCCGATGGGTGCTGTCGAAAGGTTAAGCGTCGTCATGCTTCGATGATCGTTTTCATGTGGGTTGGGTGGTTGTATGGGGACGTGATAGAGAAGAAGCCGGACATCGTCTCAATGCAATATCGAGGCGGCAAAAACGTCTAGGGTTGTAGGGAGTCGCAGCGATGGGAACGCGCGATGGCAGGCACATAGGCGGGCGCATAGGCATAGGCGGGCACTGTGTACTGTGTAGGCGGCTGGCGGCGGCAACGACAGCAGCGCGAGCAGAGGCGGCGGATTGGCGGGCTGTTGGACCGTTGGACCGTTTGCCTCGTACCAACCGATTCGGCTTGTTATCGTCGTTATCAGGCATCCACGCTGCGGGGCTGCCACGCGGTATACCGGCCAGTGGCGTGACGTCGGCTGACAGGCGACCAGCCGCGTGCTCCACCGGTGCTCCGTTTGTGTTCCATCGGTGTTACATCGGTGTTCGGTCAGCGCTCGAGCCAGCTGGAGATTCTCTCCACGTGGTGTTACGTGTTCCAGTGTTGCCTCGGCCTTTAGTGCTCCATCGGTGCTTCTTCAGTGTTCAATCGGTGTTCAAACGGCGTACGATCGGCCTTCAAGTAACGGTCCACTGGCCTCTGATCGGAGCTCAATGCGCTAATTCCCAACCTCCTGTCCCCAGTCGTCCAATTACACCATCCAGAGGCTATAACAGCCGTCTTTGATGGCCAGTGACCTGCTCGTATTGATCCGTTCAGCTTTCATAGCCTCGTCTTATTTTATTGCAGGTATCCTTCCGCTTCTGTTCTCTGGTTAATCGTTCGGAGCTCGTTTCCTTTTGTTTTCCTAACTAAATACCTATACTTCATTTGAGGATAAAGCACAAGTCCTTTGTTCTCTTCTCCACGACCTTTGCACGCGCAAAGAAAAACCTAGCTCCAAGGTGCGTTGAGTCGTTTTTTGAAGTGCCAGACCGCGCTGATATCGGTGACAAGGGTGGCAACTGACTTGGTAACAGCGAAGGGCACTTTGTTACAGTCCTGTGACGAAGGTGCACCAGTGGTGGTGCGAGTGTGGTGCCGCTAGAGCCAATTCTGCTGTTTGCAATGAAGCTGGTGCAGTGACTGAGCTAGTGATATTCTCAGTGCCATTTCTAGTGACTCTGGTGCTATCGCTGGTGACGTTGCGACTGTAGACACTGATTCAACTTTGACTGCAGTCGGCGGTGCTGTTGCTGAACTTGCCGCTGCTGCAAGTGCTGGAAACTGCACCGCCACTGGTTCAAAAGACACTACTGCTGCTATCGTCACTGCTGCTTCTGTAGCTCCTGCCGCTGCTGTGCTCACTGCTGCCGCCACTGTTGCTGCTGCTAAACTCAAACCCAATCCGCCACCATGAGGCGCCTCAGTCGCTCCATGGCCAACATACCCGCGGCCCTGTTCCCGAGCTCTACCAGCCTCTCGGCCTCCACCACCACTCTCTCCAGCTCTGAAACCGAACCGCGTCGCTCCGCCGACACCGGCGCAGCGCCGATCGTCGCTGAAGACGATGAGCTGCCGATCATGGGCGACGATCCAGGGCCGGATCCGGGGGCGGAGCTGGACGAGGAGGAAGCTAACGAGGTGGATGATTTTTCCGACGGAGTGGTAACGCGATACTTCGAGGATGCGAGATACATTCGCAGAAAAAGGTGAGGAACGTTAACAGGAGGCTTGAGCTAGGCTCTAGACTCGTACCTCCATAAATATATAAAGTTACCATGGATATTTGCAAAACTCATTATTGTTATTGTTATTATTTGTGAGGGATGATTCCTCAATCCTCATATCCCTCATTATTTGTTGTTGTTTTTTTTTTACCCTAACCCACCATCAGTCTAATTCACGCCGAGCCTGTGACGTCATTGGCTCTCGCACGTGAGCGCGTCACAATCGTATCGAAACTGCTGCGTCACTGCGTCCACCGTGAACCGTACCGTTCTGCTGCGTCGCTACCGCGCCTTATCTGAGCACACCTGGCGCTGTGCCAACCCCCTCCCCCTCCCCCTCGGTCGCACATCAAGCCACGGTCACCGGCTATCTGTCTCCTGGGGAGGGGGGGGGGGCGATTGGCCCCGTTGCCATGGCGATGGTCATGTCGTTAGTTACTGTTGACCTGAATCCTGTGTGTTCAGGTCATCCGAGCAGGCCATCTTTCAGGGGAATTGGCGACCTCCCAAGAGGTTGGTGGGGATTGTATTTTCCAGCGGGAAAAGCTCGGGAAGAATTGTCCCGTCTTTACGAGATGGCAGCTTCCCGTAATGTTCCGAGTATTCATCGATGTCGCTAATGATCTGGCCTGACTGTGTAAGATATTTCTCGGGGTGCGTTGATGTTTTTCTGTTCTGTAACAAGCTGTAGGTAGTCTGCCTAGTGTTGTTGGGCTGACGGCGCGGGAAGAAATAATATTTTCCTTTTCTTATTTTCTCGGAAAAGGTAATTTGCCGGACGTCTCCAATCAGTTTCTTTATGCAAAAATAAATAACATGGAATTATATCTTCGCCTCCACCTACACGGATATCTTGGCAAAACCAAGGTAATATGCAGTCGTGTCTGCTAAATCATTCGGATACGATGAAGCGATCTTCCTGCATTGGTTGTCCTATAGTAGCTGCCTGTCATTCGAAATTCCGGCCACTTCAGAAAATGTCTAGCTCTGCAGATGCAGCTAGCATTGTGTGTGTCCATCAAATCTATAGTCCGCCGGATATTAATTCTGTGCTTATTCGCTGCAGTTATGTAACAGTGTACGCAAAGTTGCGAGAACATACTCAATGTAAAAGTCGTGTAGCAGTGTTCTACCTATATAATGAATAGGACTTCGGTTAACCCGCGCGGGGCTGGGGGGGTAAATTTTACCCCCCCCTCGCGAATTTTTGCGATATCTCAAAAACGGCGGCGCGCAGCGCCGCCAAACTTTCAGTACCTTTTCTTACATCAATTTGACACGTTCCCTGAAAATTTGAGCGAAATCCGTCGAAATTTTTTTAGAAATTGACGTTTTAGTGACGTCATGGTCGTCATTTTCGCCTCAAAAACGGCAAAAGTTCAAACGCCGCTAACATCTTCATTTTTAAAGAAATCAAGACGTAACAAAAAAGGTTATGCGTAATTTTACTTTGTCTATCAAATGTCTATCTCGGTTTTTTGAAAATTTTGGATTTTGGCCTAAATTTTTTCAAAAAACTGACTTTTTTGGGAAAATCATTATAAAATCCAAAATTTTGAGTCTATCGAAAACACCGGAATATATGTCAGAGAAGTGGTCTATGTGCACCTACATACCAAATTTTAGAAGAATCGATTCAAAAATGTGGGAGTTATTTAAAATTTTATGACGTCACGACACACAAAATTTTTGAAAAATGACTTTTTTGGAAGTTCTAGACACACAAAATTTTTGAAAAATGACTTTTTTGGAAGTTCTAGACCTCGTACGGAAACAAAAATAGCACCATTCGATTTGCCGTGAAAAACTGCATCAGATAGACACCTTTTTAGGCCTTAACAACCAACTTCAAAATTTGACCTCACTTGACCTGACCTTGACCTGACCTCGACCTGAAATTCATCCAGAGGTGGTCCATATCACTTATTGAGTGTGCCTATTGAATTCTATGAGTAAAATGACCCATAAAACATGTGTCGCACATGCCCTTTTCTATATTTTGTTTTTTGGTGACCTGACCTGACCTGACCTTGACCTTGACCTCTGAATGATATTGTATGCAACTAATATTGTCTTGGTAGCCTAAGAACACGTTTTGGGCGATCAGTCTCAGTCCATGACTCCATTCTTCGGCAACTACGGTGCAAGGCCGATACTGTAGAAACTTGCAATTTGTACCCTTGACCTGACCTTGACCTTGACCTCAAACTTTAAATTAAGTACATGTCTTTAGTAGTTCGTGATGAGAGCTTTCGATTGGCGTTTGAATTTTTCAAATCGGACCATTAGTTCGGGAGATAACAGGGGGGGTAAAATTTACCCCCCCCCCCCCCCCCAGCCCCGCGCGTTCGGCTGGAGACCCCAGCCCCGCGCGGGTTAAATAATGCATGATTTGTCACGTTTCACGCAAGCGATGGCAGTTTATTTTTGCCTTTTGGCCGAGAAAAAAAATATAGAAACCAGGCTTTCTTTTCACTTCAGCGTCCCAACACATGAACTGACGTTGTAACTTTGTATTGATGACAGCAAAACGTGCTGGGATAAAAGCTGCTCATCGCAAGCACAGCAACTATTTATGAAAGACATCAGAAACGCGGCACAGTGTGTCAAAGTCTTAACTGCTTATGATGGCCAGTCGCCACAGTGATTTGACCTGACATGACATGAGTCATAGACCACTATATACCTGTATATAGTGGTCTATGCATGAGTTTATGTTATGTGTAATCCAGTAACCGTGACATGAAAAATGGAATGTGCATTGAACAGAATTATTGTCACTTTATGAGTCATGCTGACTCACTGTGCAAAAAAAGTATTATAGCGTTACGCCGGGTACCTAAAGTCTTCCTCTTTATATAGTTTAGTAAAGAGACAAGGAGGAGGCTTGAGTGCAAACTTTTTGTGCGCTGCTCATTATGCCCACCTTGCCTATATTTTATTCGGATGCTTATTTGATATAAGTAGAACATGGGTATTACAATGATTATTGTATGGTATTGCATTAATTTTACGGACTGTATACTGCAATACTGCATAGTGCACAGTGCTTCTCTCCATATCAATAAATCGTCTTACTGATGGCAAAAACGAGCTTTTCTTCTGATATTCACTGGTCGGATCCATTTTCGTTATCTCATTAACCTGGCAAACCATCTTCGGTCCTTCCCTCGCCCTAGAACCCCACCTCTCCACCGCTGTCCCCCGTGAGTCATGCAGTGGAAACTCCGACCAGACGGCACCAGCAGACGACGCCACACAAATCAATGTCGGCGACGCGACGAGATCGACGTTTACGGTCGACGGTGACGACGCGGGGGGGGGGGGGGCGCCACCCACCCGGAAGCGTTCTGTCCCGGTCGGAGGGGGGGGGGGGGGAGGAAGGGATGCAGCCAGTCGTAAACTTACGGAAAGGGTAAGGAGCGAGTGAGGGAATGCTGGCCATCAGGATGTTGTTCCTATTCGTGTTGGGTGGCTATTGAAACCAAGTAATGCCTTGGTTGCATGCAATTTGTGTGTTGCGAAGTTAAAACGTTATATTCGTGGAGAATGGAAATATTACCTGAAGGTAGCGCGTTTATTGTTTCAGCTTGCACCATGAGGAATGAAACAGCATTTTGCTGCCGAGATGTAAACCAATAGAAAGCAATATTTCACTGAGTTTTTCCTTAAATTCATCACAATCGGTTAAATTCAGCTTATAACGAGTGAAATAATATCCTTAAAAATAAGCAGGCATTCATTCTGAGTTTTACTCGTACTGTCGGAGGAAACATTAAATTTTCAGAAGCGGATTTACAAGTTGATGATCCCGATGTTTTATTTTTCAGCAATGTTGTTTATTATTGTGCATTTCTTGTTACATACTCGATAGAGCGTGACTTTTTTACAACCGCCGATTGACAACTTGATGGAACTTAAAGAAACAACAACAGTGTGTTCCCTTTTCTTTCCGACACTATCTTCACCAAAAGACTCACTCCGCAAAAGAACAGCCTCCTGGTTAATCATGTAAAGGAAATAAACAATGTCGCTCCAAGTCAAAACACAAGCCAGGCACCTCCCACGCTCGCTATGAGGGGATTTTCTGGCGCAAAACCCCGTCCGGCATCACCGCAGGGGCGGATTGATGACGCTGTCGTACCGCTGTTGATGATTTCTCAGCACTTCTATTACCAGCCCATGCAAAGTCTGTCGGTCGCGGGTGTGGGCGGTGGAGCTATCCCGGTCCCCAGTGGGTGGTCGATGTGGTTCAGACCGCTGACTACCGACTGTCTCCCTGGCGTGGGTAGCACGCGTGTGTGGGACGATGACGCGTCTCTGACGTCATAGAGCCGGAGATGGATTTGATGGTTTAAGCATCCTTACTTTTGGGATTATTTTATGAATGTTAACCTTTTGGATTGCGTGCTTGTGAAAGGGATGACATACTTTGTTCAAATGCATTGACATATTCCCGTGGCTACTCTTCATCTTGTAGAGTGGCACTGCTGAGTCGAATATTTGTTCGATGTATGCACAGTGCACACTGTACGTGCTCATAATTCAGTTGCAAATAAATTATCTTTTCATACATTCATTAGTACTGTTACATAACTAACCAGTCGTAAACTTACGGAAAGGGTAAGGAGCGAGTGAGGGAATGCTCCTGAGGCAATACCCTGGTCTGTTGACTTGTCTCTAAATAAAAACTTTCAAATGGTGTCAGAAGGTGCAGATAAAAGACTAAGCATCGCGTTGATGGCATCGCCAATGTATTTCACGATGCGCTTCATTTTACTGTGTCCTCCGTTTTGCCTTCCCCTTATAATCGGTCACCAATCTGTGAAATGTGCAAAATTGCGTCACAGTGCTCAGGCAATGGCTTTTTGCGACAGTGTGTACCTACTCATAGCCTCATGCCAGAAGTACACGGAGGCTATGCATTAGGCAAAACGCATCTCTTAGGTGTTTCTCACAATAAATGTTTATGAGGAGATTCACAAGACGATCAAGTATATACATTTGCGCGTTATTGGTTGATCAATTGGCATGTGTGTTTGATAACTAGTGCCTGTTTTTTTTTTCTCTCTCTCTCTCTCTCTCTCTCTCTCTCTCTCTCTCTCTCTCTCTCTCTCTCTTCTCTCTTCTCTCTTCTCTCTTCTATCTCTCCCCCTCTCTCTATCCATCGAATTGTCTATACACCCTCTCTCTACATAGACTATATGTAGAATAACCATTTTCTGTCGAAAGCGGTCACCCTACTGATTGGCCGTCCAGTCATCCCTCGCTCCTGATTGGTCGCTGACAGCTCGCACTGACCGATGATTGGTTGTCCCGTGTTGTTCACAGACATGCGCTACGTAACCTCAGTAGGAGCACGCCCACCATGAACCGATTGGAATCGCAGACGTCGTTCGAAGTTCCTCGCTCTCAACGCAAGTTCCTGCGCAGATTCAAGGACCTGGACGCCCACGAGAAAATCATTAAATGTAAGATGCAGAGATTAGACACTGCAGTGGCTCACGCTATCATCGCATGTTCTAAATGTGCTGCAGCTGAGGCGCTTTTGTTCAAAATAATGGCTTACTGCTGGGGACACGCTGTTACGGTTATAAATAGGTATTTGATGTTGCGCTGAAATAGTATCCAAGCCTAGTTCCGGCTTAATAACTGACGAGCAAGCTGTAACCATATGACAAAATGACTTCAATCAAGCTGTTCACGAGTGACGACATGCGTCTTATGATCCACCAGCGTGTGTGTGCGGGTTGTTGGATTATTTACATTTACGCTACACTTTGTTTGATGCTTGTTTTAACCGAGTTATCCTACCATGCTGGCCTCACAACGTCATTAATAATTAATGTCGGGCTAATGTGTCCGTATAATGTGTATTGTAAATAACTATATCGAACCCCATTGATTTCACGCTAGCGATCAGGCGTGCTTTATTCGTCAACAGCACTTTCTGACGAGTAGGGACTTCACCTTAATTCACCTTTTTCACAGCGTTCTCCTGTGCTTTGGTGAGCGACATCCTCCTACAGGGTCGGCTGTACGTGACAAGTCATCACTTCGCCTTCTACTCTAACCTGTTCGGCCACGTGACCAGGGTGAGAACCCGGCTGAGTGAGAACACGTTTAAATGAGAACAGGCCTGAGTGAGAATACGTCTGAGTAAGAAGTCTTAAGTGTGATTGCCTTTTGGGTGAGCGCCCTTTTTCGAAGCTCTCCGACATTACTTGCAGACTCACCCCGCGTTCGATGCCTCTCGGACGGCGAAGATTCTACGCCGTCCGGCCAATCACGTTTCATAACCGCAGCCGAGCCCCCGCTGACCTTGGACGGGATTGGCCGGACGGCAAAAGAGTCTTTGCCGTCCGGGAGACATCGAACGCCGCCTCAGACTTGCGTGAAAACACTAAATGAGACGAAGTGGCCATTTTCCTCTGAAACATGTACGTACTCAATGTCGGCGATGCGACCACGTGTTTCCATTTTTCACATAGGTGTAGATTGTATTGGCTATGGAAGAAACACGTTATCACTATCACTACAGACAACACACAAATCAAAACACTTATGTATCTCCTCATTTTCCTTGCTTTGCCACATTTGGAATAGCATCCAATGTTAAAATTGCCCTATCCCCTGAGATAAGATTATTCGCCAAGGCATAATACCATCAAGTAAATGCGCTAGTTCCTGTTGGCAGTTGTGACCTTCATCGGAGTATGTGTGGGCTCGCCTCTGGGCTGAGCACACTCGCAGGTTCAATATTGACGTCGTCTAAACCAGGCCACGAAATGAACATTTGCCGAGTTTTCACTTCCGCGTTGGATTGCCTGAAATGTGCTTTCCTCTGTTGCGATTACGCCCACACTTTTAGAAAGGCTAGAAATATGGCGATCTGTAGATGATATATGGTGAAAGGTGGATCGGAACTGTCGGACTTTTATCTCATTAGAGCTTTGGTTCCTGGGTAATGTTCTTCTGGACACAAATCAAATCAATCCGTGACGTAAAGCAGATGACAGGTCAGATTCTGTCGATAAAATGCCCCCTAATCTCGCTGACGTCTTCTGTCTACGCCTGCGACTCACAGTGGGCCAGGCACATCAAAAAAGCGGAATTAAGTCGAAATTCAACTTCGGTGAAATTCCTGTAATTATGAGATAGAGTATTGTTAAAATGTCCAAAGTTTCCGAATAAGCAAGTTTCCTTTCCCCAATGTCAAGGCAGATAATGCTATAACGTCGCAAAGTAGGACTTACCGACTGGAGATGGAAATGACTGCTGTGTACCATATTCCGTTCCCCCGATTCAAAAGCTCTCAGCGTAAAATCATTTAAGTTATTCCGTACAAAATAGCTTTAAAATAACAGCCGGTATTTCTGCGCATGTTTCTCGTACTCAAGTTCCCGGGAACTATTTCATGCTTACTAGTAGCGGTGGGGTTTACAGTGCCTGTTCGGAACCGTGGTAGTGCAACGACGCAATGAATTTATATAAGGATATAAAGAAAACGTCACCGAACAACACGAAGATATTTGCTGCCTGACTTTCCTCAAGGTGTATAGCTTGCTGCCCAATGCAAATATTTTGCGCATTTTTGCGCGAAATGGACAAATAAGGGTTTAACCCTCGCCGGCATAGGCCGTTTTGCATCCCTCGACGGCACAGGGGGATGCGACCCTCCTCGCGTTTGGCCCCTAATTGAGCTAGAGCCTCGCGGAAAAAACTATCGTGTAGGTCGTCACGAGACGAAGCCAACGGTACCCGGTTTTAAGGTCATAGGTCAAATGGTGACCTCTGAGGTCAGGTCAATGGCCGAAAGTCGGGACCTGTTAGAACGTCGTATAGTGTGGCTGCTAAGGGGGTTTTCGGGATGCTGATCACGAATATCATGTTAGTTTTGATCACAGATGATGTCGTCATGCATTTAGGCCAGGTCGGGTCAGCTCAGGTCAGGTCAACCAGTATGGGTCCTGCCGGGTATTCGTAGTAGGTGTCAGCCCGCCTCTGACAGCTTCGTAACATGTTACGAAGGCACCAAAACTACTTCGTAAATGTTCAAATGGTTCCTAAATTCGAATTCAGCTCCAAAAACTAGCCCAGAAACATGTAAAACTCGAAAAAGTGAACCGAGGTCATCAAAGGTCAATGACCTGACCTGACCTTCAGGTGACCTTTACACCCACCCTAATGCATGGGACCAACATCATATCACATGTTTGAACGCTTGAAACCACGAAAAGACTGCAAACGCGCGGCCAATGCGGCATAGTGCCCGCCTGTCCCAGGCATATGTGCAGCGCAGAAATTAAATAATGACGTCATAGGTCAGTGACCTAGCGTAACCAATCAAATTTGAAAATGGATATCGGATTCGGCTTTAGCATGATATTTCACCCTGTAACGAATCGTTTTTGGCACCGCAGCTGTGCTCAATGATTTAATTCCGCTTTTTTGAAGCGCCTGGCCCACTGTGCGACTGGAGCGGAAACGGCCAACGACTTATACTGCTCTGTCGTTACTGGCTTCGTATTATTTAATATTTATATTGGTGTTATATAATGCACCGACCATCATCTACTGATTTATATTTAATTTAACAGCAGATCTTGTTTTACTTTTCCGTTCTTTCATAATATCCTTTTATCTGCGTGTTGTTGTATCGAACGTTTCCATTAGACAGCATTTTCAATGTGTCAGGTGTCACATCCAAGTTGTATCAGTTCTTCCCCCTACCTTGCCTCTACCATATCTTGCTACCAATTGATGACACCTTCATCTCCCATATCAAAATATCACCTTTTTTACTGAAAGGTTTATTTATTTCGCTGCCCAATGCCCATGGTACGAAGATATGGCATCACAGTCTCAACTCGCGCCCCGTCTCACATTTCATCCCCACCACACCATTGACCAGGCTCCTATTTCTACAGATTCTAATCCCGTGCTCGCTGGTGCTGGACATCACCAAGTATAGGAATACCCACCACATCGCTGACAGAGATCCCTACCTCTGCAGATTCTCATCCCGTGCTCGCTGGTGCTGGACATCACCAAATATAGGAATACCCAGTACCCACCACAGCTCTGACCAATGCCATTATCTCTGCGTCTACAGATTCTAATCCCGTGCTCGCTGGTGCTGGACGCTACCAAGTAGAGGAATACCCAGCACATCGCTGACAGAGATCCCTATTTCTGCAGATTCTCATCCCGTGCTCGCTGGTGCTGGACATCACCAAATATAGGAATACCCACCACAGCTCTGACCAATGCCATTATCTCTGCGCCTACAGATTCTAATCCCGTGCTCGCTGGTGCTGGACATCACCAAGGAGAGGAATACCCACCACACCACTGACCAGGCTCTTATTTCTACAGATTCTCATCCCGTGCTCTCTGGTGCTGGATATCACCAAGGAGAGGACGGCGCGCATCATCCCGAACGCCGTGGCCATCCTAAGCAGCGAGGGCCGCCACGTCTTCGGCAGTCTCCTGAGCAGAGACTCGGCATTCGAGACGCTGGTGCGCGTCTGGAGAAAGGAGATCGGTCATGACGAGGCTGATGCTTGTGGAAACGACAAGGAGGTGAGTGAAAAGACTAGGATGGGAGCGAGGAAGCTGGTAAAAGGCAGGGAGGGTAAGAAAGGACTAGGACGAGGAGAGGAAGCTGGTAAAAAGGACAATGATGTTTTTTGGAAAAACAAGGGCGACGGTATGAAACGGTGGGTAGGAAGGTAGAAGCGCTGAGATCTTATAAAAGGGAAAACGAAATATACCTTGGAGAAACTTCTGATAAGGAAAAAAATTAAAACGTCCAAACACATTTTTATTTGTTTGCAATATGTGCCTTTATCCATAGGTTTGCTGCAAAGGTCTTACACAAGGTCTACAGATTTCGCTACACGCAGAGAAAAATTTACCCCTCTACGGGTAATTTTACACTTATGGGTACCGGTATCCCGATGTCTCCGGATATTAAAACTCGGAAAGAAATAATTATACACCATTTATTTTGGGTCCCTGTACACCTATGGTTCTTTTTACACACACTGTAGCAAATGTACCTGATATGGGTTTACAGTACCATGCAGATTCGGGTACCATTACCCAGAAGAGAGGGTACCTCTACCTAACAAACCAGAATCGGTGGTGTAGGGCTACTCTACCAGCATGTTTTTCTACTACTTGTTATTGAAAAACAGGTACCTGTAACATGCATCAACTCGTAAGGGTGTATAAGTACTTAAATGTGGTTTTCTGACTCCTCATTTTTTAACCCGCGCACCGACGGGGGGGGCGGATATCCGCCCCCCCCCTGAGGTTTTTCGCGAATAGCGGGAAGAAATTTAGTATGACTATAACCTCATCAATTTTACACATGGTGTGCAATAGGGTGGTCCACATTTACATGGTAAAAAATAAAGTTCGTCAGATTCATCGGGCCGGGTCGGAATTCTTGTCGATACTATAGCACAAGCTTCTGTGCAAAAATTCATTAAGATCGGATGATTTTTTCCCGTCCCGCAAAGCGGTCAAAGTTTCCATTATACGTACCAGCCTTTAGCATATAGGGCGAATACTTGTCTTTCAACATTACCCAGTCGCGCCAGCGGCTATCTACCAAGGAGCTTGCCTGCTCAACGTATCAACCCTCTCTATCTCTAGTCTTCTCAATGATAGATCTAGTCTTTCTATCAGCCACAGGCAGGAACGATAATCCACAGTTCCTGTTGCAGTTCCTGTTCTCAGTGCCAGGAGCAAGGCCCTGTATGCCAGGAGGTGCGAATGCATTACGCTAGTTATGAATTTGCCTGCGTCTGGGATGGCCGCTGAAGCTGCAAAAGGCACACGCTCAATCACCGAAATGTGGCTTGTTTTGGCAGCCAGAAGCAAATCCTTGCTGGATGAAACAGCCTCTTACGAAATGCATGACGCATCTTTTCACTTTTCACACCATCCGTCTTCAGGCCCCGGACTCCCGAGATCCCGTCTTTCAAGCGGTTTGTAAAGTGGTGGCAGCTCACGGACCAAGTGGTGGCAGCTCACGGACCGAGTGTCCGAGTGCGCTCGCTGGCGTCGTTTGCATCTGTCGGTCGGTGCATCCCTCGGGGCCAGCCACGATTTCAAACGGTTCAAACCGCTCAATGACTTAATCGACTTCGCCGACAAGATGATCGTCACCTGACGCGCATTGCTGAAGAAGCAGCGGCCCCGTGATGACTACCGCAACGTGGTGTACTTCACCATCGTCTTGATGGATGGTGACTTGGAAGCGAGCATCCTGAAACCGGTTGCCCTACAACGTGCTCGTTGGATGGCAAAGGTGATCAACACGTAAGATCTCTCAAGTCAAGAACACTCTCAAGAACACTCTTCTGTCAGCTCGCGCTCACCGAGCACGAGAAGAGGACGATGGTCCGGTTCACCACCTTCATCGTCACAAGGTAAGTAGCACCGCGGCTGTCTGGCGTCTGGCCACTGATCACCTCGGCATTGTGAACTGACATCGATCGCCCTCCGCAAAGGCTCCTACCGCTTACCACACATATTCGAACGGTAACCGGGCAAGGCACGGCCATCGGTCTCTCCTTCAACGAAGGGAAGACGGTCGAGGAAAAGAGGAGATCGCCACCTCCATGCGGCAGCGGCTGAGAGAGAAGAACCCTGCCGCGCCGAAGTCGCCCTCGACGCAGTGCAGGGGCAGGGCAGCGCTCGCTGGCGTCGTTTGCATCTGTCGGTCGGTGCATCCCTCGGGGCCAGCCACGATTTCCTCAATGTCGACTCGGCCGAGTGGTCAGACAATGACGACTTGACCACTGCTCATCGGCGACCGGCACATATACGGGTGGTGAACGACTTTGCGAGAGCTGGGTATTGCACTGTTGCCCTCATCAGTGGGAAATTTTTAGCGCCATCGCGCACGGCAATGAATAGTAAAAGCACTTCCTTCAGGTCGAGGAGCACCACTGCACCGGACGTTGCATCCGAGAGGGATATTGGTGTTATTGGTCTCAAGATAAGGGCCCAGGCGACCTGTAGTTTGGATGCGGTGAATACCCTCACCCTCACCACAATTCGAGTGGGGGTTGAGCTGGGTGGGAGGAGGGATGCACTCGACCCGAGCTGTGGCGAGGGTAAGGGTATTCACCGCATTAAAACTACAGGTCGCCTGGGCCCTTATATTGAGACCAATAGTACATGATGGCACGCACGGTGGATTTTGTTTTTATCTATACAGATATGCTCTTTTCACGGATGCCTATTCCACTCTGATGCGTTTCTCTCCTTTGCTGTTCTTTTTTTTAGTGACTGCCAGTGCGTATTGAGCAAAAAATGTGGACTTAGTGGGAGAATTCGTATTATCGCTCGCCCCGTCATTGCTAACATAGGGAAAACTTTGGTCGCTTTGCGGGACGGGATAAATTTATCCGATCGGAATAAAATTTTGCACACAACCTTGTATCATGGTATCGACAAGAATTCCGACCCGGCCCGAAAGATCCTAGAAACTTTTGCAAAATGGACCACCCTAGTGTGCAAGTTTGAACTTCCTACCTTTTAAGGTCAGGTCACCAGGTCTCTTTGAATGACCCAACCTCAAGTCACTTTTTTGCAACTTTGTCACCGTGCCACAGCTACAGTAGATGTCGGAGGCCTTTGAAAGTCGCAGGATATTATTAGGTCATTAGTAGCTACAATTTGTATATCTCGGAATTTTGATATCGGTGACCTAAGGTCAGGTCAATTTCGCGACCTCCCCATTATAAGTCAATGGGGGAAAAATCAACTCCCTGTTTTTACCACTAAAATGGGTCGGAATGGCCCCATATACTTTACATGACTTCATATACGATCAACCTTCACTACCTTGAGGTCTGTTTTGCTGTTGGGCAGCTGTGAGGTCATGTGACGTCATCAAAGGTCACCAAAGGTTTTTGGCCAATAACTCCGTACAGGAACAAGATACAGACGCGTTGATGGTCTCATTATGTTCAGCTCGTCAAGACGCATCGAATGATATCATGATGACCTCGAGGTCACGTGACCTGAGGTCAACCTTTGACCTTGACCTTTCGAGGTCAACATATATATCATTCGATGCGGATTGACGAGAGGATCACGATGATGCCCTTAGTTTGGACGTATCTTGACTAATTCGAAAGTTATTAGAGAAAAACTCTCCATATCTAGCGCCGCCATTTTGACTTTTTCGACCCCTGTGACGTCATCTTTGACCTGACCTGAAAATGACCTTAGTAAAAATTGTAGATCTTGGCCGTGCGTATCCGACGCCGTTTACCGCTTGTCGCTATCTTGCTTCGTTCTCGAGATCTCAGGGGGGGGGCGGTCATCCGCCCCCCCCCCCGTCGGTGCGAAGTTGGCGCAGACCCCCGTCGGTGCGCGGGTTAAAGGTAGATTTACCTTTTGTGAGTAATTTTAACAGGGGGCGTGGCCTAGGTCGCGCATGCGCAGAAGGGTGTTCCTCTCCACCAATCATCGTTCCGCGTTTTGTGTTTGGCGCGCACACTTTCAGTATGAGCCAGTTTGAACCGCCGCACACTGGTCGGAAACGCCCTCACGAGAGGCCACGGGCGATTCCGGAGTTTCGGATTATTTTTTATATAGATCGATTTGAAATTGATCAAATTATTATAATTAGGCCAAAAAAACTAATCCGGGTGACCAAAAATAACTGTAATCAGCCCCCGAAGATGGGGTATCCCAGAACTCGGAAACTGACGCGGAGCAAGAGGTTTCTTGAGCCGGATATTCAGAGTCTTATTGCTGATAGACACCAAATTGAAATCCCACATATTATGCATCAAAATGTTTGTTATGAAGTTGCCGACTGGTCAGTGCAAATTTTTTGGTATACTTTTTCCCCAACTAAGATCTACTGTAGCTTTTTTATGAGGGCTCTCCTAGAGTGATTCTGGAATATAACTGCAAAGTTTAAGTAAGGAAACAACAGGTAGTCCCATCTAGTCCCACTCTGATTTTTTGTGAGATGAAGCAGGATTTAAATTTACACCAGGGCAACATAAAAGCTAACTGCGCATATTTGCGCAAAATTTGCAGGAGCCGCTATTCCTACCCAACTACCGCCCGCCCCGCCCCAGTTTCGGCTCGGCCGCCGCGCCCGGCTTACGCTGACCTGTGTGGCCTGCACGCATCCATGCGTAGTTGACTGGTCATTAAAAACAGACGCGCTTGAGTTTATGAATTTTGCGGAAAGCGCATACAATATGGTTTTATTATTGCATTTATGTATGTGTTGACATCAAAAGCCTTCCACATATTGCGTGGCGATTACGGCTTGCATTTAGAGAGCCTTGCTATTAGTAACCATCACTCGGCTGAAGAAAGTGGAAATTGAGACCTTCGTGAATATAAGACGCTGCGAATATAGGACACCTGTCACTTGCGTCAGGTTACCTTGGGCCGTCTTTTTACATTAGATCACAATTCCGGTATTTAGCCCTGGCCGGACCGATTGGTTTTCTATATTGACCGGGGAGGGTTGATACAACTCCCTCGCCGTTTCGCCTCTAATTGAGCTAGAGCCTCGCGGAAAAAAAACGAGC